GCTGAATATGGCTTCAGGACTTGACCGAAGGTGCTGCCCTGGACTTGCCTGCAGGACGGGGGGAGTCACTCCCTGAAAGGTGGCCTAGAATCAGAAGATAGACGATCAAGGTCCCTTTTTGAAGAGAAGTCTATCTTAGATTTTATTTTTGTTTCAACCGTCCTTGCACAGTGTTATCAACCACTGATTGTGCCCGTGGCATGCAATCGTGAATGGGAAGATGTGGTGCGCCTCATGACAAGCTCCTTTCTGCTGGTTGCCATCGCAGCTCAGAAACAGGTACATTGCTAGGACACGCGGAAACGCGCTTCTGAAGTCAATATCAATGCTGAATGTGTGATTGCTTGGAACGCAAATTGTGGTTCCTTTCCAGTGAGTACAGTATAGTATCCACTCTGGCCTAGGGCAAAGGAATTGTGTTTCAGCCAAAAAAGCGTTTAAGACTAAGACCCAACCAGTGTATTGAGCAAAAAAAGTAGAGACACCCCAAGGCCCAAGGAGCTTGGTGAATCAACACCTGTTCCTGAAGTCGCTTCCACCTTTGCAGGAACCTTCAAGCCCATGGACCGCGTGATAGCGGTGGATGGCCTCATGACTCAGCTTCTCCAGATGACCTGGAGAATGAAACCAGATGAAATCAGAAGCATGGTCAGTTTTTTTTAAAGATTTTTTTTTTAAATATAAATCTATATAAGTCCTTGATTCTTCAATCATGGAACATCGCATGCAACAACTCCAATGGCAGGGGTTTGCAAGGTCAAGAAGACCAATGTTCATGTTTGGACTAGAGTTCGATGGCATTTGCCCGTGAAAAGCAAGAACAGTACCTCAGTCAAACTGTTGTTATTCAATGTTATTTTTTCATCCAAATGATGTTGTCATGGTTGGTCCCTTGAGACCCTTACTCAAAAAACCAGGTGAAGAATTTGATTTGCAAGACCTTATCAACTTCAAACGCAAAGCTTTGGTTGTAGCCCCAAACCATATTACACCTGATAGATCTCGAGCTGCTTTTTTGCTCCACTCTAAATGGTTTTGTCTCAGGGCACATAGCTACCCTGAGTGCCTAGGGCCTCGCAGCATGCTGCTGCTGCTGCTGCTGCTGCTGTTCCATCAGTGCCCTGTGGAACTGCCGTTTGCATGGTGGCAGTCCCGCATATTCATGGACCTTGCGACCAAACAAAACAGATCCTGCGTTCTCATAACGGGCACATACAGTCGGGTGCAGGGTTTAGATATGTTATGAAGAAAATACGCCATGAGCTTATGCCTAGAAGACCAACAACAAACAACATGTGAAGATAACTCCATGCATGGACGGCCACCATTATAGCAGAGCAATGCTGACAGCAAATTGCACAGCATGGCATTCCTTGGAGTACATATTTTTCCTGGAGATTCTTGGCACGACAGCTACTAAACATTTGCTGCGAGCTTCATTGCGTGGCTCAAAGTGTAGATGCTCACTGGTTGTTCACCTTTGGACTTTTCATTGGTTTGCATCCTATGCACTTGTTCGGTTGAGGCAAAGAAGCTCCTCCAAGCCAATTGTTGGAGATGATCAAAGCCAGTGATGCTCCCACGCTGAGAGTGCAGCTTGGTGCAAGTGAACAGTGAGGGGGAGGCCTCGAATGTGTTTGAATTCAACCGGGATGCCTTCTATATACTATATACAGATCTCCTACACATCACATAATTTAATACCAAAACACTAGCAGAGTACAAGTGCCCAGTCTTCCAGTTGCACGAACATTAGCAAAGACTGGCCTGTCAAGAGTACTTTCTGTTCTAGCTACCAACTGATTTGTGTAGCCGGAAGAAGACATACAATGATAGATCGAAGTTGACAGGTGAGAGAGAGAGAGACCCACCCACACTGTAAGTCCCATTGACTCCTGAGACTCGAATGATAGTTTCCTGTTGAGGCAGGTTTGAACCCACTATGCTTTACTGATGTGTACTAGTACTGACAGTTTTCAGTAGTTATTCTAGTTCTCTTTTAGGGAACAACTTTAATTTCACATGTCGGTGCCTTTGGTCCTAACACTGGCAGGTGCTCCTACTCTGACTGATCCGAAGAATCCAGATTGGGATGATTTTTACAGCCGACACTGGCCATTTGGCCCGACCGAGGGCTCAGAACAGACCTGGCAAATGAATGAGGCACTGACAAGTCATTTATCAAAAGGTTGCTTTGCGAGACTCATTGGATCCCCTGTTTAGGATGTTATGATTGGTCCAGAGTTTGCTCAGATTAGCCAGGCACAGTTTGGAAGGCTTCAGTTCCCGAAGCAGGAACGCTTGAAGTCGGATCAGGCCCAGGAATTCCAAGTTCCCAAACCTTCCCGCATGAATCACCAATTAAGTTGATTCCCTCAGCAGAGTCCATCAATGATCAATGATCGATTCATCTCAACTCTTAAAGTCTTGTTGATCATGGTCGATCGGCGCTACAATCTATTTTGTACAGTTGAGCCTTGAGTTCCCGGGGTCTTCCGCTGGGTGCCACGAAGCTGGGCGCTACAGCAAGGGCCTTGACTGAGGGAAAAATGCCATGAGCTAAGGCAGTGACACGCAAGCTCACAGGGGGTGCATGAATCAAGTGGATCATCCCCACAGATGTCAAACATACACAACATACAGTTGGTGAGAGGCCCCCATGAATCGTTTCATGTTTAAGCTATCCATTGCGGTCCCTCGGTCCACATGGTTTTTGCTTGGGGGGTCCTCTCGAGGCTTCAACAAATACAGGATGAACACAGGAGATACCCGAGATACCCACAAAATCTCTCGCTCGCCCTGGCTGGCTCGAACAAGTGCACACTGTATTGGTGTTTGTACTCCCCACGTGAAGTTTTGTCGCCGTCCATGCTGATCTTTGGCAGCAGGTAGTTGTTTCGTATCCAGCTTCCAGCGCCGATCAAGTCAGTCCTTTAAGTGTTTGTATGGTCTATTTATATAGTCTGTTGTGTGTGTCAATGAAGGCTTTTGCATGGCCTAGACCACACTGGACAAAGCAGGCGCTTGATACTGGCACACACTAAGATCAGGTGTGGCTGCTGCGTAGATGAGGAGAGACCAGAACAGGCTGGCCGCGCATAACTCGAGCCCTGTGTTCCCCCGTTGCCATTTGCACGGGGTGAAGTATCTGTGGTTGACACGTCGGTCTACGCAAGATGGCAATTCACAGGAAGTCGGAAGACGGAAGATCCACTCGAGTTGCTGGGCAAAGTGCCTCAATGGTGTCCAAAGTACCGCGTTTGCGAGAATTCACTATTGCTGCGGCATGGGACTTTACGTCGATGTCTTTTGTAGGATGTACTAGTGGCTTGATTTGATTCATTGTTCTGGCCCACTGACAATCTATAGCCTATAGCCAATTACAGTATATAACTTCAATTTGAATTCTTGAGCTCTTAGCTTACCCACACTGGCCTTCTTGGTTTTTTTGTTAAACGTAAAGGTTTTGATGATAAGACGCTGCCACCTTCCACACGAGTTCCTGATGACCGCT